TTTCTCGGATATAATGGGCCTTTAATATTTTTTCAATAAAAAGAAAAGATAACAAAATTTGGACAATAAACTGGCAAAATACAGTCTAGACATTATGTAGTAACATTTGTGTTAATACTTAAACTAACAATCTGACACTTACATTAAAACATATTATGGCAACATGTGCATTATTATAGTTGTTTTAACATTTACTTTAACAAGAAGCATGCTACAAACTAATTTTGAAAAGATGTTTAGATTGTTCCGCATCCAGGACAAAGTTGCCAAAGCCTTTATCATTACAATTTGTCAGACCAATAACTTTAGAATGCTTTGGTCTAACTTCGGGTCCCTAAGATTTGGTGTGGAAGTTGATCCTGATAAGTAACTTTGTAGATTTGATAGTCAAACAGTTGAAGGTTAAAGCTGAATACTTCCAGATAGGCCAAGATATTTCAAGAAAATCAAACTTGAGAAAATCAATCTTGAGAAAATGTACTAAGATTTTTTAGAAAAAGAAAAAAAGATCCAAGATTCTAGTGATATTTTACATGTTATGTGCGATTAATGACTACTTTAGCAGCTACTAGACTATTCATCACCATATTTCTACTGCATGACTAATGCAGTACTTGATATTTTTGCATATTTTGACCTCCTTTTGGTAATACATAATGGATTGTTAGTGTCATTTGTTAGGTGTAAATCACTTTCTTTGTTCATTTCACATAATTTTTCACTTTTAAAAACAGTCTCAAGATTTTCATCAAAATAAGCATGAATCTGGAGGCATGCTGCTTTAAGGTCACTGTGATATTGATAACAACTATTGATGCCACCAACTTATTATAAGAGATTTTACCTTCTGTATGTATGTAGGTGCACTGCTGGATCATTGAAGACATTTATGTATTGCCACTATATCTTGCAGAGTAGAGGTATTTTGTCACATGATTTTACCATTTTACTGTCCCCACAAGGAGTGACCACCTCTGTCCCCACAAGGAGTGACCACCTCTGTCCCCACAATTCTTTTTACTTATGTGGAGCTATTGATTGTATGTATTCTGAAGATGTTTGAAATTTGTTTTTCTCATCTCAAGGTTTTCATTATCACTAGCTGTCTATAAAAAAATGACAATTGACTGTTTGTAAATGGTCATGATATGGATGAAGACTGTAAATTTAAAGGTGATTATAACCAAGAAATTTTTGTTGTTGGTTAAACATGAGAAAAAATATCATTTAACATTTTAAAGAAGTATAATATATAGAAATTAATTGCAATCTATAAAATTGACTGAATATGTTTAATGTGATTAAAAGAATGATTAAACTATGTATGGGGAGCTTTCCTCCCAATAGCAAGTCAAGTTAATTTGGTCATTTCTTAAAAAAAAAGGCTAGTTTTTTAATGACACTATTTATCTATTTATTCATATTGTGACAGATGACCTTATGTGTGTAGATTTTTTAACATAAGATATCTATTTTGTGTGAAGTCAGAACATTTATATTTTATATTTACAAAGAGACTGTGTAGCAATTATCAATATTTTGTTATATCAAATTTGAGCATTATAAATATATCTTCTAGTATAAAGAAACTTTTTTTTTGTGTATTTTAAAGAAGCATGTTAATTTTCACGAAATTTTTGAAAATGTATTTAAAAGTAAAATATTGTGAAGTGAACAAAGAAAGTAATTTACACATTGCAAATAGCACTTACAATCCATGTAAATTACCAAAAAGTGGTAAAAATATGCAAAATACCCCTTTAGTCATCCAGCACAAATAATTTATGGTGATAAATACTGCAAAATCAGTCATTAATAACACAATACATGTAAATTATTACTTGAATCTTTTTACTTTTCTATAAGTCTTAGTACATTTTTCTCAAGTTTGATTTTCCTGAAATATTTTGGCTCTTCTGTAGGAATGCAGCTTTAGAAAATAATCAAAATGATGTCCATTCATTAGGTCTCATTGTTTAACTGTGCCGCTATGATAATGTGAGAGTGACCTTGCATTTTTTGTGTACACAAAAGTTTACAATCTTTATCTGAATAGGTAAAACAGGGTTTTTAGAAGCAAATATAGTACAAATCTAAATGTCTTGATGGCAAAGTTGGCAAAGACATTGGGATGCAAATCAATCTTCTTTTTTTTTCATGAGTTCGAGCCTCACAAGTTGTTTAACTTTTTCCTCCTTTCTTTTAATTTCCCTTTTTGGCTTGCAGCCACGGCTGCAAGCCTATTTGTTTTGGAAAAGTTGTTCCGGTTAGGTGGTTTCCTGCTTACATTTGTTAGTGCATGATTGAACGGGAAACCAGTTGCAATCGTGCCAATCGCAACTTTTCGGCCCTGTCCGTCACTCTTCGGATTTATTAAAATAGCCGAGGTTGTTCCGATTGCAATCGTGACAATTCGGGCGATTCCGTCATACTGCGGAATCAGACGAAGTAATATTACGGAAATCTATTTTAGTTACTTTGGAAATCCCAGTTTGTTTTTCTATTTTACTTGATTCCGTTTAAATTCTTTTTCAAGACGCAAAAGTTAGTTTCTTTTATAATTGGTTTTTGTCTTTATTAGTGTTATAAAATAGAGAATGGTTGCTGTAGTATTATTCCGTCTCCAAAGGGCGGTCCTGCTTACCAAAATATCGTGACCGAATCACGCAGAATATTCGTGCATGGTCAAGTTATATTTAGATCTACTGACAAAGTTTAAACGTCTTGCTGAGGTAATCTAAAAATAGCCCATGCATATCATTAACCTTACTGATCTCCTGTCCATAGATATTTTAGGTGTAACATAGTTGATACATGCTTATTAATTGGTACCACGTAACGAAGTCTTTTAGTGCATTCACTTGTCTCTAAAGCTGCTATAGAAATGAAATTAGCAACTGCCAAAACGAATGACTCTCTCTGCGAAAAAAGTGGAAATGAAATGTCATTGATCTCCACGTGAGAGCCAATGTTAGTATTTTTACGATTGATTATTTTAATAGAGAATAGATTTCGAATCGTTTTTGACAAAAAAATATTCATTTTTACAAAAAAAGTTGCAACTGTTATCGTCGGCATGTTCCCGTTCAGTTATAAACAGTTGACTTCTGGTCCCTATTTACGCATAACCACTGGTGCTCAAACAAATGGGCACAGGTGCTCGTCCAGTCTTGGGCTTACCCTACCTATCCCTTTCAAAGTGAAACTTTTTTTTCGAGAAAAAACTATATAAACCCTTTATGATATACAAATACCGTAATTAAAAAAAAATTGTGATAATAAATTGAAACAAGAAAAAAACCCACAATTTTAAAGGGAAGGGATGATGACACACTGAGCAAGCCTTTCCTTTTAAAAGGAAACTTTATTTCAATTTTACTGAAAATGCAAATGAATTAGAAAATATAGGTAGTTTTATTACAATATCTAATAATTTAAATATATCGTTAATAATATTTTATCCTGTGTAGTGTGAAAAATGCAGTTGTCATAGTACTTGTGCAGTGCACGAGTATTTCGTGCCAACTGAACATTCCGTTAAGTATTCGGTATAAGGTTGTATACCAACTTGCTAGATATTACTTTTGGAAACAAGAAAAATATGAAATGAGAAGTTAATAGAAATTAACACATCACTTAAAGGGATACACAGGCAAAATAATGACAAAAATACAAAAATGATCTTCTGTACTCAAATCACCCTAAAATGACTTTTCCTAAAGTCCCAGCATGAATTTCTGTATAGATTCTATATATTTTGGGTTTGAAGCTTAAATATATTTATATATGTTGAACGAAATTTGGTCGCCAACAGAATCACCGAATAGTTTAAAAACAAGTCATGTGATTTGAACAAACCCTGGAAGTTACTATAACAGGTATTGCAGATATTGTATGATTAAAACAAGTCTAAGTAATTGATTTGACATGTTCTTTAACGTTTCAAAAGTACACAGTAACAACTATTGTGAAATCATAGCGCTCTAACCTGACCCACGCGGGTCAAGTTAGAAAAACACCATTTTATTCTTTATATGGAGAAAAGTTTTGTTCATTTGACTGTTTAGTGTATTCATTTTGATGACATTTACAGAATAATGAATGAAAAATTAAAAACTAAGAAATTAAAATTTTGCCTGTGTCTCCCTTCTCTACGTCAAGAAAATATATTACATATTCGTATTTGATTGTTTATATATAAAAATTATTTTGAGCAAAAGTACAATCCGAACCAGCCTTGCATTGGTATTTAACTACAAAAATAACTGACAACATTACATACTGCATTAAAGTTGACATTTGATCAATTTATCAATATTTCAATTTATATAGCGAGCCTGTGTGCCTAAAGATAATAAACACAATATGATAACTGTTGAACACTGTAATAGTGGACTTGACCGCTGCATCACTTAATAATTATCCTAAATGGACAGTTCCTGCACTATGAAATTCTTCACCAATCAGCTCTCAATGGTGGATCTGTATCTAATGTTTTCGGTCTTTTAAACAGCAGACCTCGGGGTACTCCCTCCTATGAGTTTAAATCCGGACTTTGTGCAGGCCATGATTGAGCAGTTACCTTCACATTGGGGTTTTATCGAGACATTGCCTTATCACTGAAGGTTTCAAGAAGATAATCTATTAAGACATTGCTATTCAAACATACAGTGTTATTCAGACATTTTGCATATTTTTGTCACTTCTAAAGCATTGGAACTTGTTTGAAACTTGTTTTTCAAAAGTGATGGGGACCTTTGTGAATTCACAGTGACCCTAAGGTCTTCCTGCACCATTTAAGCAGAAAGTTGCCATATGACTTACAGTGTTGGGCAACGTTGAACTCAAAAACCCAACACCCTAATCCCCCCCCCCCCCCCCCAAAAAAAAAAAAAAAAAAAGGAAAAAGAAAGAAAGATATTATTGCCAGCAGGCTGTCTATAAGTAAAGGTTTGATTCTACTGAAATGTTATCATTTAATTTTTGTTTTTTTGTTTCAGGTTTGCTAATAGGCAATACTTTAAAGGAACGATTAATACTTGGATAGACTTTCAAGGAGAGAAATAATTTAAAGAACGATAATAATTTTCCACGATTTAGTCCAAACTGCAAAGAGGATGGCTTCATCCATTGGACAAAAGTTAGACTGAGCTGAATGTCATGCAAGGTGATAATGGAAGATTAGAAGAGTTTTGGATGACTCAAGGAGGAACTTTATTCCAGTTAACATAGATACATGTGACCTTGAAGAGTGAAATGGTCAGATTGTTTAATAAAAGGTTTACAAGACTGAGTGACATGTTGATGGTCAGACGCTAAATATTGTCTGCTCACATCAAACAACAGTCTAGAGAGCTTTTGATGACAATGTTTGCTTCTTTTGAGGCAATAAATTATAATTAAAAAATACATATAAATATAAAATAAGACTTGAGAAGAAAATATTTTTGTGTGATTAAGACTTAAAGAGAGTTTAGCGTGAAGAGAAGGACATCTACATATTTGTAACTGGTACCCAAGAATGACCATGTATAACGATACATATGGATCTCCTTGGCCGGGCAACCAGCCTCCTCATCGATGGTTCAGGTAAGATTTTTTTAAATTATATTTTTTATCTATATCTTCTGAATTTTGTAATTTGACTTGTCCCGATCTCAGTTCCATTTTTTGGAATTGTCCATTATTATTTTTGGAGGGTATCAAGATGAAAATTTTGAAATTATCAGTTGGCCAATAGTCTAATAATCTCTTGGTTCCAACTTGTAAAGAATTAAAAAAAATATTATTTTTTTTAGGTTTTAGGAAATGCAGATCATAGTTTTGATATCAGGTCATATTATGATATTGAGTTTAGAATATTAATTTGTAAATTAAATTAGTAAAAATTCTTAGTTATATTTTCATAATTATATAAAGGAATTTTTCAACTAATTCATTAATGATCTTTGAAAAATTAAGGACATGTTTAGTATTTGATTCACAGACATTTATTATAGAAACAAATTAGAGTGTTTATTTAACAAAAAAAGGTTCACCTTTACAATAACCAAAAATAAATTCGCCTTTGCCACCAGTATTGAGTCATGCCAGCCTGTATACAGCCATGAGGTCTGGTCCAGCAACTTTCATCTTGATATACCCAGAATTGATAATGGACAATTCCAAAAATGTGAGCTAGAAAAGTCCATTCAAGAAATGCAGCAGGATCAGGGTTAAAGAAGCTGTAAATATGTTTATGCAATATTGTTGTTTATGACATACTAGTGCCGCTTTTGTGACTCACTAAAAATGGTATCGCACATATATTTTGACATGGCCTCCTTTGCCTTATACATACATAGCGCTAAAATGTGCTTAATGTTAGCGTTATAAATGAAAATTGTTACTTTTTCACTTTAAACAGGTTTTATTTTGGGTATTTGGGTATGTGTTAAATTGAATATTATATTTGTGTAAGTTTGATATTAATTTTATTCGACTTGTTCAATAAATTCAGTATTAAACTTAACACTTATTTAATATCCTTTTTTAATTAAGTGTCCTCCCCTGTTCATGATCACTTAGACGAGTTAAATATCAAATTATACGTACTTGGAGCAATTTCTGTATAATTGTATTGTAATCAAAGATATGGTTCGCATAATTTTTGTGGCAGTATGACCAAGTGGTTGACACATCAGACTGGAAATTGAAGGATTGTGTGGGTTCAATCCTAACAGGCACAAGACATTGTTTTATAAATCTGATGAGAAAAAAAAGAAGATAAAAATTAAAGAAAATAAAAATAAAAAAAAAGTTTGCACCCTGTTTCCTTGCTAAAATAAAAGAATGCTCTTTAGAAAGGAGGTTCTGCATTAGACATCTACTATCTTAAAAAAACTTTTCAATCTAAATTAGATTTGTTTTTAGGATAACAGACCCTAATGGGCCCCATTAGTAAACAACTTTTTATTACTTTTATTATTTTTTAGGCAGTAGAAGACATTTATTCAAATTTCACAATCTAATGTTGTTGTTTTTGTTTTAAATTGTACATCACACAACCCCTCTTTCCATTATTGCAAAGGTTTCAGTCACCATGGCAAAATTAAAAGAATTATTTTTGCATATATATGCAAGAATTTTTTTTGCAATAATTATGTACATTTTTGTTTTTATTTTGGACCTATACAATTGTCAAATTGGCTTTAAGTAACAAATGATCATTACTTTTAACAATTATTTTTTCATCCCAAATAAATACATGTGCATAAAATAGAACCCCCTTTTCACAGAATCAAGAATGGCCAATCTGTTCAAACAACTAAAATCAGTGTCCATGTGTAGGGAATCAAAGCATACATCAACAGAAAATATAGGAGTGGAAACCAGTGGCAAAAATATAAAACAATTTTGCAGCCTTGTTTTTGGCTGTTGGCTGTTAAAATCTGATACAAAGGGAGTTTTGATTGGCCAGAGTATCGCAATATCATTATGTACATTTTTTTTTCTTATTTTTTAAACACAACCATACTTTTAAGTCTTTTTTTCAGGAAAAAATGCTGCTCATATCACTAAAAAAAATGCATAAAAAATATTGTTTTCCTAGACTGGGATTTAAACCATGGACCTCCCATCCTAAGCAAACATCTTACCCTTGGTCTGATCTCCTAGGCTATTATGCTTTGCAATAGACCTCTGCTCACATAATAAGGCAACATAGTGGAACTATTTTCACTCACATAAAAAATGGCGGCCTCCATATGCCACCTTTGTGGCAAAAGATATAGAGACATGTCTCTATCATTTTGATTGCAACGTGGGACTTGCCCATATGACCAGTATACCAGCAGGGTTTGCACAGGTATTGAAAAGTGCTTGAAAATAATCTGTGTCTTTAAAGTGCTTTAATCGAGGGTTTCCCAGGGAAATATGCTTTACAAAGTGCTAGGTTTTTGGAGAAAAAAAATCCTTGAAGGTATATGATTCTTGTAAAAATTACAATCATCATTGATTAGATAAGAAATTTAAAACATTTTTTCTTACAAAAAAAACTTATAAAAAAAAAACAGTAGTAAACCCATGAGTTATGCAAATTAGTTATGAATATTAATTAGTACAAAATTAAGTGTGGTCTAATATTATTGTCCTTGCTATTGGACTTACGTGTTTGAAGGAACTCTTATATAGATCAAGTCAAGCACGTAAAAGGAAAAATGTGCATAGGAAAGTAAAGAAATAGAATTAAATTGCTAATAAATTTTTCGTAAGATTCTTAGCCAGATTGAAGTGAAAAATATTAAAATTTATTAAGATTGTCACCGTAATTTTACTGAAATAGACTTTATTTTCCTTTGGATGTCAAAAATACTCGTATAAATTCAATATATTTTACCAAAGATAACACTCAGTTTTTTTTTTACATCTACAGCCACGTGGAAGAACTACTTTCAAACCAAACTATTTTTAAATCGCGCATTAAGTCCAGGGGGTTATTATGAATAATAGCCGAGATGTTGGTAAACAGTTTGATTAAAAAAAACAATCCTTAGAATTAATCATCAGGTGCTAAGTAAGAGAACCATGGCTAGATTTTTTTAATTATCTCCTTTACAACTCTTCATTACTTAGTTTTTGAATTATCTCCCTTTATAATAATGAAATAATATATCCCTAACAGTGATTTTATTTAGCAATAAAATCACTGTTTGGAGTTCATAGCCCAATTTTAAGTGATAAAATGATGCCTATCCGACCTGCAAACAGTGATTTTATCAAGCGATACCAGAACAGTTAAGCAACGTATCCTGAGCATTAATTTGTTTACCAAAGGCACTAACGGAACCAGAGTTTTGCGCTACAAAAAGCGAAAATAAGAAAAACACGGATAGGAAGACCCATCTTCGTTGCGAATTTCCTACAGCTAAAAGCAGGTGCAACAAGACCGGAAGTTCATGTATAGCAAAAATTAATGTATGCCATCCAAACATTCAACAGACATTAATAACCACATGATTTAAGTCTGTAATTGATGATTTATGAGTACCATTATTGGGTTGAAAGCCATTGATAGTATTTGAAAAAGGCGCCTTATATAGATTTTACGCTGTGTTTGACTTGGGCCGCTTTTCAGTTAGTTGCCATGGTGTTTATGGCATATTTTTGTGTTTATGGCATATTTTTGTTGTTTGTTGATATTTTTCTATGTAAATTTGTGAAAATGTTTCAATTATATGGGTTTATAACATATTAAAATATCAAATTCGTACCTATTTTATTTAGCTTTCACAGAATATTGGGACAACCTACATACAGCTTTTGTTTATTGACTGATGTTTTTCATATTTATAGGTCATCCTCTAACTTTGGGTGCAGTGAGTGTCTCTATGGTCAAGGTCACTGACGCTTAAATAGATTTTACACTTGGGCATATACAATATTTCATATCTGGTAGATATAAAAATGTTGGTGGTCCTGTAATTTTTGGTGAAGTGAGGGCCTTACAGATGTTTAGATCACTAGTGTTTTTGCACTTTTGCTGTTGCTTCCTTAAATAATTTGACTGATATGCATTAAAATACATAGACAGTTTTGGGGAATATCCATCACCTTCATCACCTTTTATTGTTGGCTTGGTTTTTTCAAGTTATAATAAAGATGGAAAAATTCTGATTAATAAAGTAGTTAATAGTTATTTATTGTTACGTGAAGTTATTGTCTTATAACTGTAATAACCACTTATATTCTTTCTTTTGCTGCTAATGTCTTGACTGCTGTCAAATTGGAATTTTCTGTTTAATGAAACTCGTCAAATTAAAAGCTGCTATTGACTGAAGAAAAAAAATGAAATAATAATTGGCTTAATTTTAATGTGAGCTCTACACCTGGTTACGCACCTGTGTTAAATTTATTTATGCCTAAACTTTTACAGTTTGTAACATTTGCATTACATGCAATTCAATTGATCATATCTTTTTTACAGTTTTGAAAATCATGGTATGAAAATATGATAAAAAATACGATATTGACGATTTTATCAACTCGTAAAAATTTGAATTATCATCTCCGGAGTCTGTGGCTGATTTATTTGTAGCAGTTTCCCCCCACTGCTAGGTTGCGATGCGGAGATGTGGAGTTACGATGATTCTGTTTACTTCACAATCATCAAAATCTGTACTATCAGTATCTTTATTTATCTACAGAAGGTGATTATAACAGGCTGGTTTTAATATTATA